GGGGGGGAGGGGGGGGAGGCGGGTAGTGCATCCCCGGCATCCCTGGGACCTGGGCTCCGGCCACGCCGTACATGCCTGCGATGAGCGGGGGAAAGGTTTGTGGGGGAAGGTTGAAAAAACTTACTGCGTTACTTTCTTGTCGCGCTCTCGTACGAAAGCTGGACGACGCCGACACCGCCGCGTTGTCATCCACAAAACAAAAAAGGTGGCTTGATACCTATGTACGTGGCTTTTGGCCGTCTTCGACGACGCATTTATGATCGGCATTGGATTTCGCAGGCGTGGAACATACACAGGCAAACAGAAAAAAGGCATGTGTATGTACACAGTTGACAACAAAGGCAAACGAACACAAGAGCGACCGATATCTGTCCAGGGGGGTCTGTCCGCCCAAATTCTCACCGGGCACTGGCGGCGGCGGGGGAGGGGGGGGGCGAATGGCGAAACCCGACGGTCCTCCCTGCAAACGACATCGAGGGAGGGGCGCGGGTGATGGACATNGGGGGGGGGGGGGGGGGGGGGGGGGGGGGGGGGGGGGGGGGGGGGGGGGGGGGGGGGGGGCGTTCATGACAGCGGAAACCTATTAACGTGCGTTTGGGGAGCGCAACATTGGTATGTCATGGTTACAACGAAAAAAAAAATCCTCGGTAACGCTGCCGTTTGTGCAACCCGAACAAAAAACAAAAAAAAACTGACCCAAATTCATAATACACGCACGTACCTCCGAAAGCGACGGGGGGGGGCCCGGCGGAGGCGGCGGCGGAGGGGGAGGGGGGGGGGGAAGCCTCCCCTCGTCATCCTCGTCGTTGTCACCACGGGAACTGGCCCCTCTTGCGTCCTCCTCGTCCATCCGCATCTCTTCCGCCGCCTCTTCCTCCGTTTGTTTCCTTGTCGTTGTTGTTGTTGTTGTTGGTGGTGGTGGCGCATGTGGTGGATGATGTTGCTGTTGCTCTCAGAAGACTCACAGATGCATACATACGCCGCAAAAGGACCCTACCTAGCGCGCGTCTAGAGACAAACAAACTACGAACAATTCTCTCCGCTGGGCGGGTACACATTATCTGGACGACACCCGGAAAAAATCGTTGCCGACACCACTGACAAACTCACGGACAACAACCTAGTCCATAGACTCAAAAACGAGCCCAGTATTCAGCGGGTTTTCTCCCACTTAGAAAAGAGATTCCAAACACATCCTCTCCGACCGTGATCATACCTCGAACGGGGGCAGTCTTTGTTGATTGTACGTATATTTTTTGAAACAATAAAGAACAAAAGAAACGAGGAACACAACTCGCCCCGCACCTGACAGCTTCTTCCTGAGCCTTCTTCTTCTTGAGCAGAACCCGGTGGGTCACGCGGAGGTTGGCCAGCCGCTTGACGTCGTTTTCGCTGAGCTTGCCCGCGGCGTCTAGCACCTCCATCCTTTGCACCTTTTTTCGGGGCCCGTGTTTTAGAAAATGCGCTATGCATAAACATGTAGGAAGAAGACTCGGCCTCGTCCTCTATTTCGTTGTAACGTGCGCTGGGATACCATCGTTTTTTGCACCTGGTTTTCCGGGGTCCTCGTGTGTAGCGCGAATAAAACGTTTACACACACGAAGGGGGTGGGTGGCTCTTCCTCTACTTGTTGATTGAAAGGGAGTGTGCGAGTAAGCGTTTCTTGACTCAAAAAGGGCTGTGACAAAGCTTAGCCATGACGGACCCGGGAGGCCACTGCCATGCGAGAGAGAAGGACAGAAACCACGTCTCGAGAGAAAAGAGAGAGCAGGCAAGTCACGGGCTCTGCTTCTTGCTCCCAAGGCTAAACGCAACGCGCCATTCACTTGCTACATGTTGTTTGCATCTCATGAACAGATACACAGCATTCGTAGTGCCCGGGAATATACAGCCCAGTGCTGAATCTCTCCGACAAATACATAGCACACGTGGAGCTTGAGAATATGCAGCCCAGTGATGAATCTCTCCGTATTGTCTCCCCACCCTACCCATCCTCTCACCTCCTCCACCATGAGATCCGGGTTCCGAACCATCGCCGAGAACTCCCGGACCTTCTTCCTCTCCTTCTTGTTCTTCTGAACCTCCTTCTTGCGCTGCAGCTTCCGGTAGGCGTCCGTCGGGTTCATCTCCCGACGCCCGCTCCGGGTCGTCGTGCGCGCCATCTTGGTGTTGCTGTCGTAGCCGTTGTTGGTGGCGTCGCTGCTGCTGCCGCTGTGCGGCGCTCTCCACAATTACTGCCTGCCGGAACAAGGTACGCACGCGCGTGCCCCCGGCAACGGGGTGCGTGTAAGTGCGATCGTGCGTGTCCTTTCAAAACTTCAGCTTAAGTGGGGATCCATTCTTCCAAAACAAGCACCGAGCTCCTCGTGTGTTTGACGTCGCTCGCAGGGTTAATACAACTACGCCATGGCGGTGTCTCCGCTGCGCACCTCTTCCGACATGGGGTTCCGCAGAATCCGCCCAGAAGTGTGGCACCAAGTACTTGCGAACAAGAGCGTTCACACGATCGCAAATAGATACCAGCGACACGATAATGTGGAGAACCCACACAATTTCCGGGAGTAGAGCTCGCAACGAAGCCTAACAAGGGCACGATAACTTACCAACTTTACATCACGGGGGTGACGCCTAGATGAGGGGTTGCTGCTTTTCAGGTATATTCGTCTTCTGGTGTCGTCCGAAGTAGAACTTCAAGTAACGTTCACCGTCTTCACAAAACGGAAAGGTAATGATTGCGTCAAGCCTCCCGACGGTCATGCAAGGCGACGTGCCCGAACATCATCTTGTCGGTTCCTGGCGCCAGTCCATATACCTTTCGGTGACATCTGTCATACCAGCCGAGCTGGGGGACGGGCGCCGCCTTTTGGGGGCAGGCAGCCGTTCACAATAGCTCTACCGCCAACACTGGCTGTCATTGCAACAGGTGTAGACAATACCGGGGCACGGGGGAAACGCAACCTTGCATACGCTGCGAGGGATGGATTGGATTATCCTCAACGAAGCCGACAGCCATGCATCCATTCGCCATCGAGCGCGCCGCTGGCCAAGATGACCATATGACCACCGCAGACGCACGGCAGACCCTCTGAGCGTTCCTATTTAGTCCCCCCTCCCTCCCGGTGTGAACCCGGCGTGCTCCGTCCCGGCTTTGTAGGGATGCGAGGTCAA